CCCCAAAACCCCAAAACCCCAAAACCCCAAAACCCCGTGATATAATAACTAAGTTGAGTTTTTCAAAATGACATCATTAGTTATTCTCTTTAACAATTTGTAAGGCAAGCTGCTTTCAAAGATTGCCTGTTAGTTCAATTTTAGATACTTCTTTTTCATATTCTTTTGGAGGGAACATGACACAAGGATGATTCTCTAATAAGAGTATCGCAGAGCTTTGAGAGAACAATAAATCAGCCAAGATTTGTGTCCTCCGGATAGTATTTACGAGAGTTTTTAGATCTAGATCTGATGTAAGCTTTCTAGAAGCTTGCTTGTAATCTTGATGATGCTTATAGAGAGACTTCATTCATCACCTTGTGAACTCTTTACAACAAAGGAAAGAATAAATCAGGCTATTTTCATTTTGGTTTGTATTGAACTCTTGCTTCTATCTTCTTTTGTATTTTTCTTATAAGATCTTCATTTTCAGGAAAAGATTCATATTCTGGGTCCAGAGTAGAGTCATTATAATTTCTTGGAATAGTCCTCCTCTCTTCATCCAAATTGTTTTTACAATAATTTGAGAGATAAGACTTGCTTCCTTGTTTGCTTATATTTTGCTTGAAGCTTCTTTGAGAAAGTATATTGCTAGTTCCTTTCTGCTCTATTTTGAAACTGCATTCTATTTCCTAAAACACCAATCAGTTATAATTTTGGTAATCAAAAAAAAGTGGGCTTTATAAACTAAAGGAAATATATTTCCAGATATTTGATAAGCCATGGCCTGCTAAAAAGGGATGAAATAATTTCAGCCAATTTTATTTAATTTTTACAAATATTTCTGAAGCCATAAAATTGTTTTTGAATGATGTAAGATGCTTAAGTTCATTAATTTTTGATATAAAAAATTACCATTGCCTTCATCAAGATGAGGGTTCAGGTGGATGTCACTTCCAACTTCACTTTTCCTGATTTCCGAAATATCATTTTTAGACTCTTCATTGAAATCTTTATTTTTAGATAAATTTGAGCTCCTCCTAGACAAGTTTTTATGAAGCTTTTGGGAATGTGAAAACACTAATTTTTGAGGATCAGGCAAAACTCTAGCAACTGTTTTATTTCGGCACTTTAAATAGATGGGAAAGCAGATCCATCATGTAAATTTTTTGAGAAACAAAGTTTGCAACAAGATGGCCAACAGAGAGGACTATACCAATGAATCCACCTATTTGGCCGAGCATGTCATAGAATGTATATACTCTTCTTTCGATTTGGGAAAATTTGTTATCGAGTACAACCTTAAATCTCATCAAGTCCCCACTTCCGTCATCTGTTTGGAAAGCATCAGAGACAGTTTCTATTGAGAAGTAAGAATACTCACGTGGACCGAATTCATACCAGAGATTGGTATAGTCGATTACTTTGTTCAGTCTAACTTTTATGGTCTTTTCAATAATAAAGTTTTCCATAAAATGATAAGAGAAATCATTCTGTAAGTTAAATTTGACAGGATTATGGTAATCATCGCCGTCAAAGAATTGATTTGTTATTCCAAGCACAGCAATCTGATCATCAAGATAGCTATTAATCTCAGCAGTTGTTTTTCACCCCATTGGAAGTTCTCATCTTCGGATCTTAACTTCAAGATATTTCCAGAAAATACCTGTCTGGCTACCTCCGATACCCCATTCCGATGAGGTTGGACACCAAAATTTGTCTATTCCAAATCCTTTAATCAATTCATCTTCGAGTGGGAGATCTTCAATGACTCCACACCTTTGTGTTCCTAAGTTTGTAGCATTAGGAGTAGCTTTAAAAAGTCCATCAATGGCATCTCTTTTAATATCATTATAGATAAACTGGACATTCATATAACGAGGGTCAAATATCATCCATGGAACTGTATCTTTCCTAGAAAGACCCCCAACACTGATTTTAAAAGCCTTCGTCGTATATATTATGCATTTCTGGGTCTCTGATGATGTTATTTAGAGACAACATTTGAACTAATAAAAGTGCCTCCTCTACCATAAACTTGACTGGTTTGTGTTATTGTGTACCAAGCTACAGCAAAGAAGGAAAGTATACTAATCATTCCTCCAAATGTTGTTTTGAAGTGAGTATTTCCATTAAAATTTAAAGATATAGGAACTCCATACATATCAATTGACGCAAATGCTTTGGTAACGCATTTACTAATCTTCCAAGATGCCATTTAATTATTTGATAAGGTTTATTTCAAAATAAGTTCTTTCTTTGGGGTTTTGGGGTTTTGGGGTTTTGGGGTTTTTGGGG